GGGGGGGGGGCCTCGCGCCTCTCCGCTCCGGCTCTGTTTTTGTGGTGCTTGCTATTTCTATGCGTACGTCCTCGAGCTTCGTCCGCCTTCTCTCAATTTGTCATCGTGTGTGCTCCGGCGTGGGAAAGGGCGGCGAGTCGCGGCAGCGGTGGTGCACCTCCTCGCCTTCTCCCTCTCCCTCTCTCGGGTGGTTTCTTCGCCCTCCTATTTTTTTCTTCTTCTGCGTATGTATCTACCTCCCCCTCTCTTGCAGCAGAGAACAAACAGCAGCAGCAGCAACTGCCGAACACCGCACAAAACAACACGTTAAAAAGGGGGCAAAAATGAATAGTAAATAGAACAAATCAGGCAGAGCACGGAGCGCAGTCTGAACGGTGACGAACGCGGAACCCGATGAACACCGGAGAGAGCTCACGCACTCAGAGAAGAAGAATCCTACATTTATGTTTATATATTTACGGCTTCCAACAAACAACAGGAAAAAATACGCGAATGTGGAAGAAATCATTATAAAAGGGAAAAAAGGTATAAAATCAGCGCTCTACACCGCCCTTTGGCGGGGAGGAGGGAGAGGGGGTGAAGAGGAAGGACAAAGAAATAGCAGAGAGTGAGGGAACGTCAAAGTTGGCCTCCTCACAATGCAATTTTATTTATTTTTATTGTCTATTCCGTTGGATGCATCTGCATCACCGGCAGAATACGACAGGCTTCTGATGTCGTGTCGTGCAGAAAGTCGGCGCGAGGTGACACGCGGTAAGCGAACAAGGCACCCAAGTGTCACGGCGGCGCCACTCCCTAAACCCTGCCAGTGGGCTGCCCTTCTCCTGTCTTCTCCCCCACTCTGTGATGACTATGCCGCACTGTACGTGATGTTATATACATATTGTTTTCTCCCTTGTATTTGTTCTCCTCACACATCCCCCCTTTTTTTTTTTGGGAGGTGATGCCAAAGAACCTGCTGCTTCGTTGCTGCGTCTCCCCCTCCCTCTCTCCCTCTCTCTCTCTTACACGTCCCCGTCACCGAGAGATTCGCACTCGTACTCACGTGCTGTGGTTTATTCTTATTATTAGTAGCATTTTAGTGCTGCGTAGCCCTACCAGTACAGCAACAACGAAAAGGAATACGGAGATCGTAATGAGCACCAACAAGAACGTTAGCGCAGCCCATACGCAGGCCCCGGGTACGGTGCGCAACGCCGCTATGGCCGGCTTCTCCAGTCCTATCTATCGTGGAGAGCTGACACACGGCGCGTCCGCCGAGTTGCAGGAAGGCTACCGCATCCTCACCAATGGACAGAAGGTGAACATCATCAGCGACAAGGATCTTTTGAAGGCCATCCAGGCCTCCGGTCTGCGGGTAACCGAGGAGGAGGTGAACGACCTGTTGCGCGTGGTGCACCAGGACGAGCGGACGCTGGGGCTGGAGTTCTCCGAGTTTATGATGCTCATGACGAAGGAGATGGATGATCAGGTAATGGACGAGATGCGCAGTGCGTTTCACAGCATTGACAAGAACAACACAGGAACGGTAACGAAGAAGCAGTTCACGGAGCTGTTCGTCTCCGTCGGCGAGCACAGCAGCGCCGAGGAGCTGGATGAGCTGCTCCTGCTAGCCGAGGTGTCGGAAGACTCGGAGACCGTAGACTACAATAAACTGATTACGGAGTTAGCCATTCGCTTGAATAAGATGTAGTGCATTCATTCATTCATTATTTTTCTTGGTGGTGGTGGTGTTTCGAAAAAAATCTTTTCTTTTTTGAATGGAGTAGAAGTACAGAGAACAGCGACGCGCCCGTTGAACGGCCGCTGCTGTAACTCTACGATTAATGTAGTTGTCTCTTTCTCCCGCTATCCCTTTTACTATTATTATTATTATTTCTTCATTCCTTTCTCTATTGTTTTTCAAACTTGAGGGACGACTGTTGAATCTTCTCTTGCTGGTCCTGTTTGTTTTTTGTTTGTTTGTGGCTGTTGCTGTTGATGTTGTTCCGTTCTTGTCGGTTTTGTGCGTGTATGTGTGTGTGTGTGTGCGTTGTTGTTAGTCTCCGCTAATTCGATTCTTCATTTCTTCATCTTCCCTTTCTTTGTGATACTATTAGCTCTGTTGCTTCGTGACTCCATTTTGTGTTCATCCGCTCGTTGCCGTAATTCCTCCACCCGGATTTGTGTTCGTTGGTGCTGCCATGGGGAGAAAGCGGAAAGGAAGGAAGAAATGGAAATAACTATCTGTTGCTGTTGTTGTTGTTGATATTCTTAGTATTGTCGTTGTTCATGTGCGCGTTCTGTTGTGGATGCCTGCGCTCGCCTGTTGCTCCGTACAAACACCTAAATAGATGTGTCGTGTACAAGGAAAAGGGAAAGAAAAACACTCATAATAACAATAATTTGTGAGAGTTTTTTGTCTTCTTGCTGTTTGTAAAATTTTGTTGTGAATGCACTCGAACCACAGTGTGTGTGTGTGTGTGTGCTGTTGTTGAGGGGGAATGGATGATGCCGTAGTGGGAAAAGGATGGGGATGGTCTCCTCCTCTGCTCCATTCCCTTTCCTCTCCCCTGTCACAAAACAAAAACAAAACGGCTTCCTTTTACATCCATCTCCGTCATGTCATGCAACTTCACCCTCCCC